TGTCATGTGAAACATAAGATATGTCTTCTACATGAAGTGTCATAAGGAAATAGAATCATTTAATATAATTTATAATTTAATAAATTACAAAGTGAAAATAATTTAGATTTATTTTAAATTAAGAAGAAAATGACACATCTAGTCAGAATATATCGTATAGTTTTAAAGATATTTTATTTTGTTTAGTTCATTTCATGTTTAAGATTGAACTTCATTGAGTTCAATCATGAACTGAAAAAGAGATATTTGTTCTGTGAACAACAAAGGACAGTAGCTAGAGTGCGAGTGATTATTAATCGAATATTCATGAAATGATAATGAACATATCTTTGTTGATAAAGGCGCTCTTTGAAAACTTTGATCTTTTTTGTACAATTGAAGAAAACAATGTAAAACAAAGCCGAAGTGCAATTAAAAATTGAAGAGTGATATGCTACGAGTATGCGAAATTAGGGCTTTCTTCTCATGCAAATTTTATCTGCACCATGACTGTTGGGAAAACGTTGAGATTATCTCAAAGCTTGATATATTTTAATATGTCTCATCTATTGAGTAATGCTGTTTACAGCGACAGAATACTATTGCCGTGACTTTTTTTACTTCGGAAAATACTGCTATTCATATTTTTCAATGAAAATATTGAATTAGAAGTGTATAAACTAATAATCCACTTGAGTTTCTAGCTTGAAAACGATTGAGCACTATAGATATATTCTGCTGGGGCTATTGAGAGAATAATAGAAAAGAAAGTTCAAATTATAAGTTGACTTGGTGAAAAGTTAGACTTACACTTGTTAATGGTAAACAACGGAACATTGAGCTATAAGTAAAGTTTTGCAGACATATGCGGATATTATTTGATTTTTTTCCTAGTTCTATCTATTTCTCTCTATGCAACGTAATAAAACAATTTGATGACGCTCATTATTATGATTCAAACTCATCGTAGTTACTATATTCTTCCAATGACTTCGATTAGCTGCAAATATATGAGACGCACTCCTGCTTAGTCTAAAATCGATAGAATATTAATATTCATTGATTTCTTTTGACTATCAGCCGACAGTTCTTTGGCTCTTATTATTATCAATTGAAATATGACATTTACTATTCATTGTGATAAACGAAATTTGAATTCACACATCAAACTCATCGACAGGATATTTTTTAAGACTATTTAAAACTTTTTGACAAAAACATTGCAATATTTCTTCAACCCTGTATTTTGAGATTTGACAAAACTTGAGACATTTTTTATCAATTTACATGATTCATGTATCATGAATAATCTATTGAAAGGTATGTTTAACTTTTTCTCATCACTTTCATTCATGAAAAAAAATGGAATGAAAATCCAACAAATAATTGCTTTTCAGTATATTCCTAATATTAGACTACAATGACAATGATCAACAAGAAAGCGCAATAGTGTTAAAAGTAATAGTGATTCACAGATCTTCCAAATTTTTAATTTTTTCTCACAGAAATAAAACTCAATAGCACTCATCCATTTCTTTAATGGAATGGAGTCTGAACTAAATAAGGTGCTTGAATCGAAATATAATACGAGTCATATTTCCATTTCAATGTTTCCTTCAAACTTGTGAAAAATAACTTTTAAATAACTATCATTACATGAGCTATATTTCGATAGAATATAACTTATACAGTCATGATAGAATATGTTGAAAAGATAATGTAGTGATGCTTATTTCTCAATGGCATGTAGAAAAATCGAGTATGAGTAGAATCCATAGGACACATGATGATAAGCGATTGTTTGCAGCAAAAGAGTTATAAATTCAAAATAGATCTGATTTAGAAGAATCAAAAAAAGCATTCTACTATTAATGAATGTCAGACGTGATGAACTCGTATTTTAAATGAATATATTTGTGAAATACATTAATGTTCAGTCAATAAATTAATAATCTAATAAAAACAATACGGTGAAATAAATACAAATAATGACTATCATCCACAAAAAAGATCATCATCTTCAAACTAATAAAATTATTTTCATTATTAGCATGTTTATTATGTTTTAAAAACAATAAATAAGAATCAATTGTGACATCTAATTTGATCAAAGGAAGTCAATAAACGAATCAAGTTAATAAACTAAAGCCAACTGATCTCTTATGACGATTAGTGTCATCGACTTTTTTCTCTTCTTCTCTCTTGTTCGATGTTTTCGATCTCAATAAATATTTGTTATCTTTTCAATATCTTGAAGAAAAACATTGACTATTTCTTTCTAGTTATTCGCTAATTTTTTCTTTTGAAGAATTGATCATAGCTTGAAACAGAAACTTTCTTTGACACGACAATTCATCGGAAACCATGACACTTTTTTATTCTTAATTATTGACACATTAACACTAAGATGATAAAAGTATTTTATACATATAATAACAAATATCTTATTCGAATTAAGTTTAATCATGTGAATTGATTATTTTCAAATACAAGAAAAAAAGGAATTCACATAAAAATGTGGTAGTTCATAAAGATGATAAGCACGAAATTTGATCCCTTATATTAATGTCTAATTTGTTTCAAGTATTAAGCGTTAAATAGGTTCATTTTCTATGTCTCTATTTAGGTCGACAACACATTGGAATTTTTCCAGCACTGTGGATCAAGCAACTTGCTGACAGTCGGCATTTCAAACCAGCTTTACAATCATCTATTATTGGCTTACAAGGTTCATCTATTTTTCGATTGAAAAACGATGCGAAACTACAAAATTTTACGAAAAAAAGGCACATTTTCAAATGAATTTGATAGAATAATTCACCTACTTGAAGTCAGCAAGACTGATCACAAGAATGAGAATAAACCAAAATTGCATTTTAGTGTGTCTTTGTTCGATTAGCTTCTAAACTGAATAAACGTATTTGTACATATTTGTCGAAGTGAAATATTTCCGAGAGCTCTCACACTCCTACGCTCTTTATATTCTTCTCGATAAATACTATGAAACATATGCAGTAGAGAATGAATGAATAAGCCTCAACTAATATACTTGAATAGGTAGCAATTACATATAATATGGATCAATGGAGATTGTACTTCGTTCGAATTCCATAATATTACTAATTTCATTCATGTTGCTGACAACAAACCAAAGGAATAAAAAGAATACATAAACATAAGAAACTGATCGGTTTCTACTTATTGCTGCATGAATGTTGTATTTTTTATGTACGAATTAAAATCAGCTTGATTGGATTGTAAGACCTGCTGCCAAATTTCGAATGGCTTTATTTCTCCTGAGTAAACAGTCTCAGGTGTTTGACTTTGTTTAAGATGGCAATATGAATCATTTTTTTTTCTTCTGCAAATACTCTTGCCACGAAATCGAAATATTCTCTAAAACAGATACAATCGTGATGTAATTTATGATGAATTATATAGTGAATGCATTCAATCTTTTAAAAGTTACGGATATTTTCGAATGAAGATGATATATGTATATAAATAAATGTTTTTGGAGTACCTACTGACAATATGCTGGCATTGATCTGCCATCAATAACACAGCAATACAAAGTCCATAAAAATACTTTTTTTCAGAGACAAAACACTATGATTTCAAATAACATCAGCAACAGATTTTATACTAAATTAAATCGCGTCGACAATGAGATTCATCCATACTGAAAGGTAAGCGTTAGAAGAACTTTTCACTCTCGAAGTCAGAAAATTTTTAAAATTTTACGCCACATCATTTTTGATGCATTTCAATTCGGTATAAAATTTATTGTTCATTTTATTTGAAATCTTAGCGTTTTCTCTCTAAAAAAAAATTTTTTTCCGATCCTGAACTACAAAACTCACTGTTGTTTAAGCTTGCCTATAGAATTACAAAAATGAAATAAAATAATATTGAACAACTAAAAAGCGAAACTGGAAATGAATAGAAGAACTTCCATGTTACCTTGATTCAACCAATGATAAATAGTATAGCAACTAGATTAAAATTAATTATGAATTAGAATGATAATGAAATTCACCAACATTGGTAATCTAAGATGTTATTCTATTGATTTTGAAAACTGCTTCTAATTTATAGTAGCAACCAAGTAGATGCTAAAAACTGACAAAATAAAATATTTTAATGCTGTTTGGATTTCTTGGTTATCATGAAAGCTATCCATGTCAAACTTCGGATTTATATAATACTAAAGTGATGCAATAATCTATCTTAGTTTCAAAAATTCTTCACTTATTGTGTACAAAAATAAGGAATTTCGATTTGTTTGAGAACTGCTGGAATAGTCTGAAATTATTGTAGTTGTATGCAATGAAAGATTTTGGTATAACTTGAAAATCTTTGTCGTTTTTCATTTAATTTATGATTGAATGTAATTATGAAAATAGTAAGTTTTACTGGTATTTCTAATGTACCTAATAGTCACCTCTGTCTTCAAAGTAATATTCTCCACTAAAGAGATTCCATAATAGTAGAATTAATTAATGGACAAACATCAAATAAAATATCTGATGATGATTATCTCTTATTGTAATATTTCTTATCTATATCAATATACTTCTAGCAATTTTAATACGTTTAGAAACACATAACGAACTTATTCATAGAATACAGATCCTTTTCTTAACTGATCAGATATGGATGTGGATCTGGACATTACTGAAGTGAAGACTCACACCGACACTCACATACACATTCTCTATTCCTCTGATAAAAGTGATTTATGAAGCCTGTAAAATCTTTCTTCATTTATGGAAAAAGTCAAAGTGTTAGTTCGATAATCTTTCAATGAATCAGATGATAGTTATAAAATGACAATATGTAACTTTAAAGTTTACATTCTTTCTCTTTCTCATCTATTTTATAACATTTGTGGTATTACCTTGATCAGGTAATATGCTCTTTCAAATCATCAATTACTCATTCGAAAGTGATAAAGGTTATTTGACTATATAAACAAGTGAAGACCAATATTTCATTTATCAATATTTTGTGTTTTTACAATGTCTGAGATGATAGAAATGAAAAGTAATGGAGAAATAGATTCCACAAATACTGAACAACGTAAAGGATGTTTAAATCATTCATTATTTGAATGGATTACTGTTCTATCGACACTTTTTGTTCCACTTGTTGTTGGTATTTTAACAATTGTTCTTCCATTACAACAACAAAATCTTAGTGATCGTCAAAACGAAAATTCACAAACAATTGCTTTGTATAATCGTTTAAAAGAAATGGAATTATTACATGATCAACAAAAACAAACTATATTAAATACTTATGAACAAGATTTATGTAATCTTATTTTTAAATATAGTTCGATTAATAATTATAATGATACAAATTATGATGGGCCAGATGATGATGATAATGATGATGAACGTGTTTCATTAGTTATACGTACAAAGACATTATATGCTTTAAGACAACTTGATGCAGTACGAAAAATTTTACTTATACAATTATTAATTGATAGTGGTATTCAAAATCGTATTAATTTATCACATGCAGATTTATCATCCTTAATATTTCCTCCGGGTTCATTTTATAATCAATTAAACTTCGTGAATATTATTGCTCAAAATCTATCATTAAAACATATTCATTTATATCAAAGCAATTTTTCATATTCGATTTTAGATGGATCTTCATTTCAAGAATCAAATTGTTCATATGCAGATTTTAGTTATGCATCATTACAACGAACTGATTGGATACATACAGATGTTACTCAAGCTATATTCAATTATACTAATTTGTTAGGAGCAAAAATAACTCCTCAACAATTGGCTACAGTACAAAGCTTAAAAGGAGCTACATTACCAAATGGTTCAATTGCTGCTATTTAAATTCTTTTTCACTTCATGAATCCTATTTCATCTGACGAAATAGTATGTTTATTGCAGAAATTATTGAGTTAAAATATCTTTTGTATATATTAGTGTAAGGAAAGATATAAATATTTTACTGTTATGAACATAAACTGTAAAAAATGCTTAGAAAAGAAAAACTAAAAATTAAAAAACAAATTTTTACATTTTCTGTTCTCCAATGATCAATAATTGAATGAGTTTTAAGATATAAGGAAATTAAACAATAGATACAGTATAACTTCTATATGTGAGCACCTCCCAATAATAATGAGCAACTCGTTATACTGAGCGCTCTGTGGGCCGCCCGAGCGAATTTTGCTGGAAATTAGTCTCTCGATTATGAGCACCTCCTCATCCTGTTAGTGAGCGCATTTTATTGGTCCTATGAGTAATAACAACCTCTATAATATGAGCAATATGTGTTCTATAACTGACCCGTAGAATGAAAAAAAGAATGATTTTATGTCGTCTGCTTTATTAAAAATAAGCAAAGGACACATATTTGACCGACATAGACCAATCGGACGCAATTAAAAGAAAAAAATTACTTAGTATAAATAACGTTGTTTGGTGTGACATTTCCTCATTTTCGTAATAATAATCGCTAACATCAAATAATGTCATCACGTGTCGATTTATCTCTATTTAGAAAAAAAAACTTAGTTTTGTGTTGTAAAAAGTTGTTATCTTAGAAAAGAAATTATTATTTGAATGAATAAATTATTGAAAAGAAGTACAATATCACTCTGCTCACTCGAAAAGTGTTTTCAGGTGAATATTCAGACTCTTCATGAAGGATCTAAAAACCTCCCAATAATGAGCACCTCCTTAAAGTGAGCACTTTTGACCGGTCCCGATAGCGCTCACATTAGAGAAGTTATACTGTATTTATATATTTTTCTTTCCATTTCTCTTTCTGGCGTATAGCCATATATTTGAGTGAAGTATTTTTCCCATAAACTATTCCACTTATATGTTATCAATCTAAAAGTTCATATAATGTTCTTCTTTTGTCTATTCAATTTAAACAAGCTTCACATATTGTTGATTATTTAGAAAACACTTTTCTTATTCTTTTGATAGCATAGTTATGACAATATTTTTCATCTGAAAATAAAATTACACACACTCTTCACACTTAAAACTAATAAGTACTTATTTTTAATCATATAAATCATATAAAGAATTCATTTATCAGCGATGAAATGATACATGCTTCGCATCTTGCAAAATCTATACTACAAACGAGAGAACCTCTTCAACTGCCTTCTTTCGAGTTCAATGATTTTTTGCATATAGATACTACATAGTATTTTAATAACATGAGAATGAGAATCGTGTTCGATCCTTTTCTACCACAGCACCATGTTTGTATAACGCTATTCTGTTCTACATGTTTCAAGCTACTGATTCGTTGATGGTCTATACATTCTGCTTGCATATCAAAGGCGGTTCGACTGTGAAAACTGTCACTCATGACTCATGTTATCTTTGCTCATAGTTTTATGCGCTTTACGTTTGTGTTTTGCACTATGTTACAAAAGACACTAGAGAAGTACTGAAAATAGCTATGCAATTCTACCTCTATCAATAAATGAATTATCTATACTATTTCTAAACAGTCATTTATTCGATTTTAACATTTTCTCTCAATTCTTCATTTTTTGATAAAGTAATTATTTGTACGAATAGCTGAGTTTCTATCCAAACGTATACGCAACTTGCCGTGTGAGATCGTACTGACAAAGCATCACCAGAAAAGTGATAACAACTATTGGTTTTCATGATCCTAAGAATAGAATATATATTTCTAAACTTCAAATTTGGAGTCTTGGAATAGAATTACTTTCATCATATTCAGTCGAGAATGTATTGTTTTAGAATAACCAAGATCATTATTTAGTGAGAGACATTGTATGTATCAGAAAAAGAATGTCACATCGTAATCTATAAGTGATTTATATGATCCATTAATTTTAATTTAAAAAATGTAGTTTAAGCCACTGATTACTTCAAACCTCAACACTTAAAATTATAGCAACAAATCAATTCGAATTCATCAATTTAAAAAATATATCTTATTCATATGATGAGAAGATATTGACTTTTTGCAATAGTTTTTATAATCCGAAAACGTACACATCAGAATTGTTTTCTTTATACAATAAAAATCTCTAATTGTTGATATCATACATGTTTCATTGTGATATATATATACAGGGTATTCCGAAAGTCCCGAAGAAAAGTTTTCGTAAATATCTCTTACACAATTCAAGCGATTTAATCTTTTTTTAAATAAAATGATAGTATATTCTTTTAAGCTTTATTTTAATAACAAAACCGTTAACAGATACTATTTTGAACTGTCACTTTTGACTTCAATATCCAAGTGTACCCACTTTCGATTTCTAAACTAACATTTTCGAAGGAAATTTTCCGAGATACTTATTCCGACCTGAAACGTTGACCAAATCGAGGGCTCACTCAGACTAGCTTCTGTATAAAATTTCAGAAGTTTTCGATGTAATTTTTCTGAGATATGAATTTTTCAAAATTTAGGCATTTGTCCATGTAACTTTTGCAACATTTGAAAAATGCATATCTCAAATATACTAGATCCAAAAGTTCTAAAATTTTGCACAGAAGCTAGTCTGAGTGAGAATTCGCTTTGAGCAAAGTTTCAGGTCAAAATTCGAAACTATAATTGTCTTTTGAAAATGGGGGTCATCATGGACATAACCCACTAAAAATTTCATATCTCAGCCAAAACTGCATAAAAGCATGAACCTTTTGGAGGTCGTTGTAGTAGAGTGGTCGTGTAGCAAAAGGAAAAATATGACCTCAAAAGTGTCTAATCATCATATGGGCTCAAAAGCTTTTCATGATCTCGGGTACTCGTATTTTTGAAAAATTGAAAATAGATACATTTTGATATTGAAGTCAAAAGTGACAGTTCAAAATAGTATCTGTTAACGGTTTTGTTATTAAAATAAAACTTAAAAGAATATACTATCATTTTATTAAAAAAAAAGATTAAATCGCTTGAATTGTGTAAGAGACATTTACGAAAATTTTTCTCCAGGACTTTTGGAACACCCTGTAATTACATATTCAACTGCTCCGATAAATAATTGTCAGCGCCCTAAAACATTGTTTTCCTCTCACTAAGTGCAGTTCGTTCCTGAGCTGTCAAGCAAGTGTTGACAGAATCAATGCAACTTCGTTTGTTGTAATTGATTAGACGAAAAATGCAGCAGTTACTATTATTTTTCTAATAATGTGCATAAACTATCCATTTCTTGTATGCAAAACTGATTGACGTAGGTCGTATATTTATATCAATAAGTATTTATCTCAACACCTGTTTTTTTTCGTTAGCATAAACGATAATATTCATAGCTAGATAAAATGATATGTTCTGAATGTTATTCTACTCAATGTTATCTTCTCAGTATATTTTATCTGTAACATAATCGCAATTTGTCGATGGCTATAATCCACTGATTGTAATAGAGCGACATCTGTGGGATCATCGTACTTTGGTCATGAGACATATCCACTCATGAGTAGTTACTCATCAGCGGCAGCAGCATCAGGTGAAGCTCAAGAATATTATCTTCGAATCATAAAAGATATAATAAAAATATTTAATTTTGAATCATTTTTTTAAAGCTTATATTTTTAGATATTTTTGTTATAGATTTCATCATTCCATTTTTGCTTAACATAATTCGATTCATATATTGAAATAATGAGTATTACAGACTTTTTAGGCTTCTTGAGTACTTATACTCTTATCGAAAAATAGACACTAGTCTTTTATGATAATCCATTATAAACACTTCAAAACTATGGTTTAATTAATGTTTTTTTTTCTAAACAAGATTTAGCGTCGTAGATGAGTTACACACCGACAAATGTGAATGTTAGCATTTGACATTCAACTAATTTAAATCCATTTCTTGTTATTGTTATTATTAACGGCACTTATGCAGGTCAACGATATCGTGACACCAACACTCTTTGATGTACCCTGCCAGTTAGACTAATTTGTGTATAGGGTGTTGTCGATCTAAAGAAGAAGCTTATCAACAAACTTGATTGTGTTAATTATATTTAGGGTGCGGGTGCATATGCTAGTGCAAAATTAATAATAAAAAATGCGATTAGTATCATATTCAAGGTAGAAAAAAAATACTTAGAATTAGTACATATTCTTGTTCTGAAGGAAAACATGCTGGTGAAAACATTACAACTTTTATTTGAGACTTTGAATAAGAAGAAATAACGCCACAACCAGCTTGAATCAATTCAATAATAATTTTTTCAGGTAATAAATTTGATTGAAAACACAAGTTAGCTTTTTTTTACTGGACTCTTACTACCTAAATTTGATCTTCAAGCATTTGAAATCTATGCAAACATTTTATCATTTTTCAATAGCCGGTGAACGAAAATAATCAGATATGCAGAACACAATTGTTGAGCTGATCGTTGCGATAACAACAAATGAGAATTCTGATCTTTTAACATAAGTTATCATTACTCAGTGTTTATATTCAACATCAAATAATCAAATGTCTGTCGCATATCTACAATTAACAAGCAAGATATTATTCGAAATGTTAAACGAATAAAACTAAGTTTAAAACAAAAGAAAAAATTCAAGTAAAAAAAAAAATGTAATTTCGACAATTATTTTTATTTTTGAAAAGTCTATATATTAAAATAATAAAGAAAAATTTTACTTTTTTTTTAACTCGAATTAATTTCGAGTAAATATACATGTTTGCAGATGATGATGTATGACAGAAATAATGGCACATCATCGAATCATTGTCGTATATTTGATACTGGCAAAAGTTTATTAAATTTTGATTGTCATTCCATAGCACTTAATGATCAAGAAACACATCTGTTACTTGTTGGTCATCATGAACTCGCATTTATTAATTTCGAAACGTTAATTTCACAAATGGATAATGGAATCGGTGGTGATATGAATGTATTTATACCATCTTCATCTGATATTAAATTTGTACCATTATTTGATATGTATAATGTTAATCGACCAATTGTTGAATGGAATCGTGTGGATACTAATCAATATGCGGTAGCTATCGATCGTCTTGTTCGTCTTTATACAGTTGATCATACACATATTAATGAAACAAACGCTTTCATTGATTCGCAACATCAGGTAAGCGAAAAAAAAGTCAAAAAAAAACGAAGTGCGTTAGCCGGGAGTCGAACCCGGGTCGGCTGCTTGGAAGGCAACCATGCTAACCGTTACACCACCAACGCTTCAATAGTGTATACATTATTTTTGATATTCAATCAAATAATTTTCAGTAATATTTGTTCTATTTTATTTTTATTTCTAGCGTCCTATTTCAACAATAACTTATGCGCCTCATGATCCATATTGGCTATTAACAGGTTCACTTGATGGTCAAATTCAAGTATGGGATACTCGACATTGTTCATCTAAAAGTCCAGCTAGTCTAAAATTTACAGTATCAACACCATTTAGTATTCGTCGTATTCAATGGTCATCAGTAAAATCTGATAATGTAAATCACTTAGCTGTTCAATGTGATCGATGCATACGAATATATGATATACGTCGACCAGAATCATATTTATTATCATCAACTGATTTAGAACATACACAACGTATAATTAGTATGGATTGGACAAAACATAATTTTTCAATTGTTACACTTTCTATGGATAATTCTATAAAAATATATTCAACTAATGGTCAAATTCTTGCCGAATCATTACCCAACGAACAGTCTTCTTGTTCATTTAGTAAAGTATGAAATAAAAAACCAATTTAATTATATCCATTTTCTTCTAAATTGTCATTTATATATTAGATTCGAACAGCTATTTATGATAATCTATTTGTTTGTGCATCTCGTGATTCTATATCATCAACATATGGTTTTCTTGGATGGCGTTGGGATGGCGATCAATATTTACAACCATTAACTAATCGTATATTATCAACAACGTCATCACCAATAGTTGATTTTTGTTCTGTTACAAATCCTCGATTTTTTAATTTATTTAATAATTCTTCATCGTCCCATATAAATGATGATTCAACAAATCGTTTTCTTTTACTTGCTTGGTGTCGTGATGGAAATTTATGTTTAGTTGATATGGATTCAACGTTTCGACAATCATGGTTAAATCAACATGCACGAAACAAAACGTTTCATTTATCTGAATCATCAAGTTCAATAAATATCTCTCGATCATCAACACATCCACCGCGACAACAAGCAATATCTCGAAGTAGTTACGCAGTAATGCCAATGGATGCTATTAAAAGTGAAACAACAGATAGCGGAGAAACTATTGATGAAGACTATGATAATGCTTTTCAAGAAATGCCATCATCACCGCCTAATACACTAGAGTCTTCCGAAACCAGCGATGAAAATGAAAATCCCATGATGTGAGTAATACTTAGATAGTTCTAGTAGAAAAATTGAAATCTCATTGAGTCTACTAACAACAAGAGATTCTCAAATGTGAGTCTCTATTTTCAATCAGTTTCAGTGCCAGTTTTAAGAGTTCGATGAACTGATTGTTATGGTAATAATAGTTTTTCTACATATATTGTCTTCGAGGAGTTATACTGATCTTAAATTCAGAAAAATGACAGTAACTTGTTATTACGGAAATTTTAATTTTAAGGTTAGTTTAGCTCTTAGCATTCGAAATTTTAAGACTGCATGCACCTTACTTGACTGTACACATCTATTCATCGTTGTAGGACATATAATCAAAATACATGTTGATTATGTTTCAATTGCTTGGCTTATCTATCGTACTTTTACACCTAGACATGAAAGAAAATAATTAAATAGAATGCAAACTATTGGAAACGAGGTGGTTAACAAAAAAACTCTGAATTGAAGCAGAATTTTTGAAAACTAAGTAGTACATTTTGTAGACAACTTCTAAGGCTACAAAATCTCTATCCAAAATTCCTTCCAAGTATGCCTAGATTTTTCCAAAACAAATCGTTTTACTTTTTGTTAGCAACTGGATAGAGTACAAAAAATGCTCTTATACCTGAATGAAAAATTCAAAACAGTACAAACCACCTTTCTTCAGAACCACTAGATGTCGATAAGACAAAAGGTTTTGTTTCGGGACTTGATACAATCTCTAGCAAACTTGTTTTTAAGAGTAAGTTTTTTTTTTTTTAGTCTGATCTTGTTGAAAACTTCGTCATAGATGCCGTTCGTGCTGTGAGTCTATCCGGAAGTTTTTGGATTATTTTTTCTCACATAATTAGACAAATAGTCGTTAATTACTTTTTAATTAATATTCAACTGAAAGAGCCAATATTTTTACATATATGTCTATGTTAAAGTAACTTATTCAGAAAAATAACCCTTGTAAAGAATTAAGAAGGGTCAACATAGAAAACAAATCTCAACACGGTAGATCTCTCACTCGGCAATTCAGTTCTGTGTCTGTCATCAATAAAAGATCCATATTAAGCAGTTTTTATTTGTCTTATTTATGAAGTATTCTTTGGATAGTTTCCAAATGCCAGTTGATAGAAATCATCGAATAATGACCGATATTTTTTCGGCTAGTTTTACTCATTTGCCTTGAAATTTTGTCCAGTGAGTGTCCTGATCCAATCAAGTTTTCCATCTAAATTTCACACTCGCAGCCATCGATAGAGAATAGATTCATGCTGATGAAGGCTTCGTTGCACCTCTAGATTACAGCGGATTGAAGTACTCTATTTGTGACACAATATAGACATGCGGATCTTTACTTGTCCATAAACCAATGGAGATTAACGCTTTTAAATAGTGGAAAATCAGAAAAGTGTCAACAAAGTCTTTGTTGACCCTTAGGAAAAAGACAGTGTTGTTTTTTTTTCGAAAATTCTCTCTATTAAAAGTCCTATTGACCTCGAGTTATTGCTTGCGATCAGGATTTACCGAGCTTCACGCAAAAGGACTGAAGTTGATATATTTTTCACCTAGTAGCGTGATTTCTTGTGACTATTGTATATGTTAAATAAAAAATACAGAAATGATAATTGAACCTGTATTGACCGGTTTATCGATAAAAAAATGTCTCAGATAGAACCTTAAATAAAATATGTAATTTATTTTTAGTCCCGATCGAAGTAATAATACAATAACAGAAGTATCAGTTAAAAATGAATTGAATTCTCTCAATGATCATTATGGTCCATACATAAGTGTTGAAACAAAAGATGAGCAACGTCGCATGTGTACACTTCGTTGTATTTATTCTTCAGATAATAATTTATCATTTCGTATATGTCTTATTTTTTCTCGTCATTATCCAATAATATCACAATTATTTGTTCGTTTTAAATTATCAATAATAAATAATGATGAACGTTTAAAAATATTTCAATCTCGTATACACATGATGTTTGATGAAACGTGTTATAATTGTTTTTATCTTGGACAATTATGTTTACACAAATGTTTAGTAAAATTACAATATTTATTTGATAAGAATTATAAACAAGAAAAATTACTGTCAACAATACCATCAACAACAAATACATCAAATAAAAAACGTAAAAATTCATCAACAACTTTTGATATTGATTCAATAAATGATTTTACAAATGGTAATCTTAATAATCCAAGTACAAATAATGATAATAATCCGAATCGAATGTTTATGACATCATTATCATCAACACATACAAATGATAGTCAAATGTCAAATGTATCATATGGCAATTTTCATCCTCGTACATGTGGTGCTCATTTTTCTGGTAGTTCACATTTAATATGTTTTGGTCGAACAGGCAACAATCAACAATTAAATTCAGCACCAGCTGTAACTGCATTAAATGATGGAACAATGAATCGACCACAATCATTACCTTTACGTTCAACAAGTTTAACAGTAACGAAAACCCGTGAAAATTCAAGTACTGATGAACAATCAAGTTATCGAGCGACAGCAACAAATACAGTACAAATACTAAATATGCGGAATAATCAAATATTACCAATGTTTTCGGCACCTGTTCGTTCATCATTCGTTACGAATATTTTGAGTGATCATCAACGTATACCAACTGCATATCGTCGTTCACTTGGTCAAATAATTTCTCCACAATCAACAGTATCAATTTATGATGTTTCTATATTATTACCTGTTAGTAAAAAATTAGCTGATGATTATAAAATTGATTTAAAAAATTCAGTTGAAATGTGTCAAATGAATCAACAGGTAGCACGAGAATTGGGTAAAAATGATTTATCACATTGTTGGCGTTTACTTGGTGGTTTATTATCATTACAACCGAGTTTAAAAAACGATGATTCTTGGTTTCAAATGCCAATAGCTCAAGGTAAATTCGAAAAAAAAAAAGATATTTTCTTTTACTTTTTGTTTTTCTGTTCTAAGGTTTAATAAAACATTTAGTTTCTAATTATGTTATGAATGGCGATATACAATCAGCAAGTATGTTTCTCTTAACAATGTCTCAAACATCATATTTGAAAACAAGAATTCAAACAAGATTAGTTAACGAACATGACTATGATCCAATTTTATATGCTTATGCATGTTTATTACATCGATGGAGACATTTTTATAAACGAACACAAATCTTATCCCAAATCGATCATAACTGTCAATCACCAGCACCATTTAATCATACAACAACACCAACACCAATCATATGTTCAATTTGTTTACAACCGGTTTTAGGTCAACATTTTGTATGTTCAATATGTGATCATGGTGGACATTTAACACATATGCATGATTGGTTTTCATCCGACGGACTTAAACATAGGTATTGTCCAGAAAAAGATTGTACATGTCGATGTATTATAAAACAACAAGAATTATTAGCAATGAATACAGCTCAATTACAACAACAACAGCAGCAACAACAACAACAACAACAACAACAACAGCAACAGCAGCAACAACAACAAGCACCCATAATAACATCAAGATCTTATTTAGTTCGTCAAGCATCCATAAGTATTCGTCCTTCATAGCAAAAACAGTTTTGTGTGTGTGTGTCTATGTAATTATTTAGTTATATTCAATAATGAAAAAAAAATAATTTAACTAAAATAAATAACATAAAGAGCATGAATAATACCAGGAATCCAAATACAAAGAAAAAGAATCATATTAAGTATAACTGTTGAATTGCATTGTTTTTGAACAAAATAGACAGCTAATGGTGGAATCAGGAAGATTAATAGAAGAAGAAGAATTGTTTTACAACAATTTGAAACTTCAGCCATAGTTTGTACTGCTTGTTAAAGAACTGGAATGCTGGTAATGACGACGACAATGATCATGATTAAAAGATTGATGCATTTAGAAAACAAACACTTGATGAAAATTCTTTTTTTTAAATGAAAAGAAAAGGACAAAAGTAAATACGTTTTAAGAATGGCAAACAAAGCAACGACTTTATGGATCAATTTACAAACATAAAACATTCACATGTCAATCATCAGCTAAATAGCAATGAAACAAAAATCTATTTCAATCAGCTTTGATTTCAATCAGGGCTGACCTGAGACGGCCAACATTGGGCAGAGTGGGATGTTGAATTTTTTGTTCTAAGACAATGTGCGAAAAATTTCCGGCTCCGCTGGAAAAAACGAAAAAGTTTATTGAGCTGGGGACGATGCACTCCTACCTCTCTCCTTGGTCGTCACACACGTGATAGACTTCCTTAGCAATGTCTCGCCTTCATTTACAGTCCATGACAAATCCAACCGTAGAAACGTGACAAATAGACAGAAATTTCACAAATGATGATACATACAACCATAGAAGCGTCATAGACTATGACAGATACAATAGTAAATGCATCATAGACAATAACAGACACAATTATAGAAACGTTACAGACTATGAAAGACAATCATAAAAGCGTCACTGATTGTAACAGATACGCCCATGAAAATGTCACAGACCGTCAAAAACGTTCTTGATGTACGTTCACAGACAATATATGAATAACGTCTCATTTTAAAATATATGAGCTACTTTCTTAATTGCATTTCTGCAGAATTAAGTAAAATGATGGTGAACAAATGTTTCACATAATGGATAGAATAAAACAATCTTCCTGTGATTAACAACAGCAATTACATTGTGTTTCATATTTAAATCCCACAAAGATTGCGCTACTTCATATACAAACAGTTTAAGAAGTTACAAAAAACTTAAGCAGTGTCAAAAATTCATCTGCAGGACTATCTAGCTATCACTCGTGTAGTAATCTGCATGCATAAAAACGAAGTCATGAGAATGGTTAACAAATAAGACAATATCATCATGGTTTTGTTCAATAAGCTGGAAATTCAAGTATGGGAAACAACATCAGTTCCATCGAACTGTTCTTCATATTGTTTGCAGTATAACTGTATTCATTCATTGATCAACTACACGTAACAAGTCTCAAACAAACAATAATAGACAAATTTTTTGAAAAAAAATCAGGAAATAACTATAACCTTTTCGTAGATTAATGAAATGTACATTCATCAAATTTATTCAAATAATCATCGTTTATATTCAAGACATCTATTTGATAAATTCGACTGGAACGCATTATAAAATGTTTAAATTAAGAAAAATATTCTTTCTAAGTAATTATGCGAACATTTTTCTTTGTGTAAATTGATCTTTCATTTATTATCAAAGCCTTATTTCTATATTTTGTCATATCTATGAAGACTTTATAAATCTTGATCAATATATTTCCAATCGTAGACAAAAAATAAACCAAGGTAAATAAAAAAAAAATCTAATTGACAAAATATATTATATTTTGATTTCAAGGACCATTTCACGCAAGATCAAGGTGTCATTTTATATTGATTTCAAATAAGTTGACTATGAAAAGTATCAATAATGATCATATTAATATATTGTTCAGGCCCATGACTAAATGAGAGTACTTGAGATGTAACGAACGCATCATTTATATTCGCTAGAGTTTCTCTAGTACAATTTTATATATTCATCGAAAATTGTGCTTGTATATCAACGAACATCTCCTATATATTTTATGTCTTCTTATGATAACTCGGTCCATAAAACTGTAACATTTTGAGCGAACACGATCAGATGATATTTATCGGGTGTCCCAAAAGTCCCTTCCACTTAAATTTTTTGTATATCTTTGCTATTTAATTTCACTTGATCAACTATTGTTTTTCTAAATGATAGGTAGATACACCGAGTTTTTATTTATAAAGACAAACTTCAGAAGTACTGCTCAAAGCTAAGACTTAGAATCGAAATACAAAAATGTAGCCTATTTTATATTCCCAGAAAAACATTACGCAAAATTCCTTTTNCTATGTGAATGAACATAATATAAATGAAATAAACATTATTTTTCAAGACGAACAACATGATAAATGGACATTTATTAAAACAAAAGAATTAACACCAATTATTTGTGCTATTGAAAATAATCATTTGCCTATTGTTAAATATCTTTGTGAGCAAGGTGCAAATATTTATCAACTTCAGTAAGTTTTTGTTTTCAACTTATTAATAATAAATTAATTCGTTTTTTGTAAAGACCTTTGAAAGTAGCATGTCAATATAAACATATTAAAATAATTGATTATTTATTAAATGTTTTAATTGTAAAATGTCAGTCGATATTATCAAAAAGTTCGAGTCCATCATCTCCATTATCACTTTGGTATGAAAAAGCAGCTTCACAATGGCTTGAAGCATTGCCAATTGGAAATGGTTTTATGGGTGCAATGATCTATGGTGGATATCCTCGTGAAACAATTCAATTGAATAGTGATACTTTATGGGCTGGTTCTCCACATAATTATTCAAATCCAGATGCTTTCAATTATCTTCAAGAAATTCGACAATTAATTGAAAATAATCAATGGAATGAAGCTCAAAAAATTTTAACAGAAAATTTTTTTGGAAAACCAATTGATCAAGCATCTTATCAACCTGTTGGAAATTTATTTATTGATTTTTTTCCAGAATCACCATCCAACTCTATTGATCAATATCAAAGAGAATTAAATTTAGAAAAAGCAATTACGTCAACGAGTTATTCAACTGATTATCCCATTAATTATCAACGAACTTGTTTTGCATCTTATCCAGATAATTGTATTGTTTATAATATTCAATCATCGGTAATATATTCTTCTAAAAAATCTAAATAATAAATAAATATTTTAGTCATCAAATTCTATAAATTGTGTTATATCATTTTCAAGTCCTCAAAAAACAAATGTATCTGTTGATGAGACTAATACACTTATAGTAGATGGTATAGGTGGTGATCATGAAACAATACCTGGAACAATTCGTTTTCGTTTATTAATAAATGTTGAATTAGATGGAGAATGTTATGCATTAAATGATCGTTTAATTATATTTGCATCAAGTTTTTTAACTATTCGAATTGTTATTGCTACAAGTTATATTAATTATTCAAATGTAAATGGTGATGAAGTAAAATTATCTAAAAATAATTTAAATAATTGTTTATTATATAATTATGAACAATTAATGGAACGTCATTTAAATGATTATCAATTATTATTTAATCGTGTTCAATTGAATCTTGGTGAAAGTGAAGCAATGTTACAACCAACTGATCGTCGAATTGAATTATTTTTTCAAAATCCAAATCTTGATCCACAATTAATGACATTATATTTTCAATTTGGTCGATATTTATTAATATCATCAAGTCGTCCAGGTAGTCAAGCAGCAACATTACAAGGTGTATGGAATGATTCAATGAAACCACCATGGGGATCAAAATATACAATTAATATTAATATTGAAATGAATTATTGGATAGCTGGACCAGCAAATTTACTTGAATGTTATCAACCTTTATTTGATCTTATTCAAGATATATCACAAACAGGACAATCAACAGCTAAATTACATTATGGAACGGTTAGATTTAATTTTTTATCATTTTTTTTTTATACAAAATTCCATATATGTATATGGTCAGGTCAAAAAGTCTTTGCTCTTTCAGTATTTCAAGTAATTCTCAGCATGGATATGATAAATATGGAAACGAAATATAGACACAGATAAGACATCGTAGTACAAGATACAAAAGTATTATAATTCATAGTTAATTCTCTTTTCCTTCGAGTCAATCAAAGTTAAGCATCGCGCTTCTTTCGTATACATCCTTGCGTGTGAATTTCCTTGCCACTCGACTGAATCACCGTCTGGCGTTGCAGATGAGGTGATTTTTGAAGAATTTGGATGCCTCGTTGGCGAATGTTGTTTAACTCAAATCGTCATATTTATGTTGAGTTGTCCTTGGACACATGTACCTTTCTATTTCTGTGTCAATACACTGGCGTCGCATAGGGTAAAGTACTTTTGTAATCCATTTGTTTGAACTACCGCTGTACCATCCATCGAGGAACACATCGATCTCGATCCTGAAGCAGTTTTTGTGCCAGTTCTTTCACTATTATCTTGTTGTTCTGGCGAATCCACTGGTCGAGTCCCTTGTCGTCGTCTGCAGTAACCATACGAGGTCGGTCACTAAGGAATCTATCTTCAATTGTGCATTGTTCTTCGATCTTGGTAATATTGTAACACAGTTACATATAAATCTTTTCTTCCCTTCTCGAAAGTTCTCGAAAAATCTCTCCAGAAACTTCCTGAGATATGCTTTTAGAAAATTAGATTATGTTAAATACAAACACTTTTGCTTCTTACTCTATATATAGATACGAGAAGGAAGTTGGGTATGTCATCATAATACTGATATATGGCGAGGTACAGCGCCTGTTGATGATGCCGTTTGGGGTACATGGCCAACAGGTGGAATATGGCTTTGTAAAAGTATTTGGGATCATTATTTATTTACAAATGATAAAACAAATCTTCTTCGTTATTATCCAATACTTCGTTCAGCGGCACAATTTTTTTTAGAAACGCTTATTAAATCATCAAATTATTTATTAACAAGTCCATCAATGTCGCCTGAAGTTCCACATCATGTTCAATTAAATGCTGTTGTATGTCAAGGACCAACATTAGATATTCTTTTAATAAAAGATTTATTTAATTCAGTCATTGAAACATCTCGTTTATTTAATATCGATTTATCATTTCGAGAAGAAGTTCAACAAGCATTTAATCAATTACCACCTCTTCAAATTGGACAATTAGGTCAATTGCAAGAATGGTTTCAAGATTGGGATCAATTAGCTGATATTCATAATAGACATATGTAAATTTCGATTTTTTTTTTTATTATTTTTTTCAATAATCTTGGTAAAATTGTTTATTTTAAGGTCTCATTTATATAGTATTTTTCCGGGAAATTCCATAACAATTGAAGCATCACCATTTCGAGATGCAGCACTTCGTTCATTAGCCCTCCGAGGTATATTTATTCCATCAACAGGATGGTCATTAGCATGGAAATCAAATATTTGGGCTCGTCTTCATCAAGGTTCAAATGCATTTCAACTTCTTTGTATGATTTTAACACCATTACATACAGCAGCAAATTTATTTGATTTAATTGATGGTCCACCTTTTCAAATAGACGCTAACTTTGGCGCAACATCAGCTATTTGTGAAATTCTTCTTCAAAGTCAAAATAATTGTATAGAACTTTTACCAGCATTACCCGTTGATAATTGGCCACAAGGTTTTGTTTGTGGTTTAAGAGCACGAGGAAATTATGAAGTTGATATTTGGTGGACAGATAAAATATTATATCGAGCAGAAATTATTTCTTTATCAGATAATCATATGTGTAAAGTTATTTATCAAAATAAAAGTTTGATTTTGGAAAATTTATTGTCTGGATATACATATCACATTAATTCATCATTGGAATTGACTCATCAATCAAAAAATACATAAGATACTTTTTCAACCAATTTATTATTTATTGAAATTAAAGATCAAACTGTGATTTTTTTCTAATTTAATATTTATAAATAACAGTGATTTTTCTTTTCATTATTATTTACTAAATTTCTTTTTTGCTATTCGATATTCAAGCAATAAAAACAACAATCTTTGAACAATTTCGTCAACTATTTTTTTTAATGATAGATTTCAGACTTATCTGTTTATCATCAGTCAGGGTACATTAGTCATTTTTATTGTTTTTTTTTATTTGTGATCAATTTGTTTTTCATACTGTTTCAAACTGGAAAACCTTAAACTTTATCTGAAAACATCACTAAGAAATACATCTTTAGATTTTATCAAAAATCTATTGCACCCTTTTTCTAGAGTTTTCGACAAGTACTTCCCGATATCATTAAAAGAATGAATGCAAAGAAAAAGTACTTACGCTATTTACACTGATAAAAAAATACAAACAAGACAACAAGAACCAAAACTATCCAAACTATCTGGTCACTCTTCAGTTCTTAGATTTTTCGATCATTACATGTAACTTTTGGTTTTACATTCGTTCTCTTGATGAGTCCAGCTCTAACGAGCTGCATGAATAAATAGCAATAAACGGATAAAGTATAATATCGTTACAATGATGCACAGATGCTCATTTACAAATATTCGTTTAGAGAACATTAACGAACCTACTCTGGAAAAGAGATGGGACTTGAGATTTAAAAGAACTTCGATAACGTAGTTAAAGTTAAGGTGCCAATTTTTTCAATACTTGTATTTTATGCATCGTAATGATATTGATCAGTTATCAAAATACTATATAAAATCATTCGTAGAAGGAATGAAGTGATAAACATGATACTTTTGAACTTTGAAGTATGTTAAAGTACTATAAAGTATCTTGAGATACATTTCAAACACGATAGAGATTGAACTTCAATGAATGGTATTAGAGTGTCTTTGATAGAGCATCGATGGCTCCAAATTCGTAATAGTATTGTTAGCGTTTTGATCCGGCTGAAATATGGAGCCAATTATTTAAACCAATTAGTACTTTGATCTAGAGAAGACAAAGTTACCGTTACGTTACTGGGTAACTGTTATTAGGAAACTCGTTACTCTAATTTCTTAATTGTTAACGGATATTTCAGAGACATATTTATTTTTATAAAGTTTGACCAAACGCTTTTAAAATCGAGAAATCCGAATCTATAATCGGTTTCTCAAAATTGTGGACTTGATTTTTTCATAGAAGTGGTATGTCAAACTACGGACCAAATGTCTTAAAGAATCTTATCCTAATTTTATTAGCTTAAGAGTTAGGATTAAATATTGATTATTTTTTAAAAGTTTATTTTGCAGTTTATCACAACTCAATTGTTCACACACGAGGTGTCCTCGGAGACCGAAAAAGGTTTTTTATTGCTGTTCTGTTACAAGTTTTTATAGTCTGATAGTGCTAAGTGTGCTGATTACAAAAATATCATATATTTTTTCAATAGTACACAGATAATAAAGAAAGATCTGCAGCATTCTTTGAAAGTCATAAAAACTAGGTTTTGATCTGTAAGTGCACAAAATTCCGATTTATGTTTGTCGAAAACATTTCTATTTGATGCACAATTTCTTTCTATATTAAAATCTATAGGAACTTCTTAGGTATTCATGTCTTTTTTCTATGAATAAATGTCAAGTGCTATCCGAATAGGATCATACTGTTACAAATAATGATTTGTTCAGTCTTAGGAAATTTATAGTTTCTACACGTGCATCAGTGAGATTCTTGTTATCAAATATGTAATTTAATGTACTTTTTTGGATGATGCCATGTTCAATTTGAAACTCAATGTCAAGTATAGTACTTTTGCTCTACCCCCTATATATTTGATAGCCTATTTATGTCTTTTTTAACTAATGTTCAATGACTTTTTAAAAGAAGAGACCTCATTTGACTTCAAACAAATGTCGTATTTAAAATCAAAACAAAAAATTGAGTTGAATTACGTCCATTTTAGATTGTTTCTGCTACTCTTTTTAGATGTAATTTTGACCTCTGATTCCCCCCTCAAGGATATATGAAAAAATGAATTTTGTGAAAAACACTATTTAAATATATAGAAACCTCTATTTTTTTCTTTAAATGGCATTTTACAAGTTCGGAACTATGTTTCCATTGCTAAAACGGTTTTTTGACGAAGTTCATTTTCTACTTATGTTCCTGAGGGGGACCAGGAGCCAAAATTTGATCAAAAGAAAAGTAGTAGAAACAATTTGAAATGCATTTAAGTCGATTCAATTTCTTTTTGTTGTGATTCTAAATATGACATTTATTTGGAGCCTAGCAGAGTTTCTTGTTCTGGAAAACCATCGAATTTTCTCAATATTCTTTGTCATAGGCTACTACCAAGTATCGAATATCACAAGCTGAAAAAAAATGATACTTGAACTTTGATTTTTCCAAAGCTAAAGGTTAAAGTAGTCTTTTACCTTTAACTTTCAAGTAAAGTTAAAATACCACCCCTAATTAAGTGCGTGCGCAGTAAGATGAATTATTACAATTCGGGACAATTATCAGATCTACAACATTCTCTGATTTCTTTCAGTATGTAGAATACTATTTATGGTTGTCATGCAAAACATCGATAATTACATTTCAAATTTTCTCAGAGATTCACCATTCTATTTATATGTATAAATTAATAGAATAACTGAATGATAGGACAGATGAGCGTCGATATTTGAATGTCAGCGTAAAATATTGCAATAAAAAAAAAATTTATAGTCATTTGATCTCTAAAATTTAAGTCGACCAATTAATTTGTTTGATCATTTCTTCTGAAACGAATTTTTATTAATTGATCACCATACTTTGATTGCTTAATAGAGGACACTATAGGCGATATAATGCTAAAATATGACTAACAGCTCATGAAAGTGGATTTATGAAATGTTTGAAAGAAAATATGTGTGCAAAGTCCAAAAGTGCTTTGCCTAATATTTGTGTTTTATAAAAGTTATTCAATGTTCTCGTCTTCTATATTGATATTATCATCTTCATCTTCTTTTGTTTTTGTTTTTGTTGACTTCTCCGTAATTTTTTACATTCTTACTATGATCTATAGGTTTCTTTGACAAAGGATAAAATGATTTATTATTTTTATTTTCTTAGTAACTGTTGCCTTTCAAAATAGGATTAGTTTTAGCGAATCAAGGCCTCTATACAGCTATAGTCTTAATACAAAATAAATATCTCTCATTGCATGCAAAAAAACAGAAAAGAACAAAAAAGAACTGAAAAAGTCAAAATTTGACATCAAGACATAGAAATTGAATAAAAATTTCGCACTTTTGAAATATTCTTTTCTGGTAAATATTTGAAAATTACAAATCGAATGTTGTCGTTGTTCGCCTATTCTTATAATAAAACATGTTTAGTTAATTTTACAATTCTAGTTTCCATTTTCTGACGGAAATCAATTTAGTATGCTATTCAATTTAAAGATTTTTGATGGATTTGTAACGAGGGTCGTTAATAAGCTATTTTTATCGTTATATACAATGTTACATCATCATACTGAACAATATTTGTATAGATAATCGTTTGGATTGACCAAAATTACGTACGAAAAAGCTCAAATATCAAGTCTCAATTGACAGGAGATTTAGTATCTGGATGCACATATTTCTGAAGCTCAAATATCGAGGTTCTATTGACGAATACTCTTACGTCAGAATGCGCAAAACTCCAAATCTCAAATGTCGGTGTAACAAATTATTAATAAAACACCGCCGATTCTTGAATCACAATGCAATAATACATTGTTTACCTTCATGAAAAAAACATAATCCCAACACAGACGATATCAATTATTCCATTTCTTGCTAACATATGTTTCATCACTTAAACAAAAGATTTCCGCATCTGGAAAATATTCTTTTATTGTACGTAGAAAATAAAATCTTATACATAAATATTTTCGTTGTTTCTTAATCACCGGCTATATTTTGTATATTAACTTTTCTATCAAACAAAACAAATAATTCACTATCTACAGAACTCAAAAACTGCAACAAACATCCAGCGAATAAGTAGAAAAAAGACAAACAATAAAATAAAATAAAAAATTTAGGAATGAATAACAAAAATAAAATAACATATCACAAGGAAAACAAATTATTAATTAATTTTATATACGTTGTTCAATTGAATTAGAATTAACATGATTTGTCTTAAATGAATTCACATGTAAATCAGTCTGTGATTGAATCATATTACCATCATTTTCAGAACTCGATTGATGACCATGATGTCGTCGTCGAGTACCATATGCACATTTATTCATATTTTCACCAGGTTTAATGTATTCAAATTGTAAAGTAAAATGATAAATACAATGTGTTTCAAATATTCTTTGTAATCGTCGACCAAATAAGTCTCGACATGTACTTAATGATAAATCTTCATCACAAACAACATGTAATGTTGCAAATACATCTCGAGCTGTTGCTCTAAAAACGAAAAGTTTTTTTATTTTTTATTTTTTGGTTTGTAATAAACTTGAAAAGAAAAGAAAATACCTCCAGACATGTACACTATGTACACCACGTATTTGTGGTATTGTTTTCATAATTGTTTGAATTAATTGACGTGTATTAATACCTGATGGAACAGCTTCAACAAGTATATGACCTAATGACCATATAACAGGAATAGCTTTCACTGCTATTATTATTACCATTAATAATGTTAATGCAGGATCAATATATTTTAACCAAATATTTATCGGTTCATTCGTTCTTGGATCTTTACTTGGAATAAATTTATTTAATAAACCAGATATAAGTACAATAGATGATTCAAGAAGAACAGCCTAATTAGAACAAAAGAGAAATTTCGTCTTTTTAATAAATGATTACATCTTTATCAAATTTCTATATTTTTTCAGTTCTCTTAACTCGATCGAGAAATTTAGTTCAATAATGTACTTAGACATTAAGAGATTCTTGAGACTAAAATTTTACAGAACAAAAAATTTGTCTTATGATAATTACTAAAAGTAATTATTATATGGAAAAGCATATTTAGTAAAACTAATATAATTTCAAAAGCACACTAATTATGTCTTCGAAGCTTTTAACATCTTCGTTTGTATTTAATATATATATATTCCATATGCTAATGTAGAACAAATTAGACTTGTTTTCAGCCATATGTAAGACAATAGGTTATGCTGCCCTTATTTTTTTCCTGTACTATATAACTCAGAAATTATAGCTACTCTCATATATTATGGAAGGAGAGTTTTTTTCTAATACTTAATTTATGTATGAGAATAAAAAGAAAGTCAATGTTCTCTAAATAATATCTAGCATTGAAAGACTATAATGACAATCGAAATTATATGTAAATATCGAGGAAGAACAATTTAGAATCATCGCTTCTTCATAATATGCGTCTGGTAGTAATTTAAAAAATTTGCTATTGTTTTGTTCCTTTAAGACCTAAGAAACTCAACTTGATATCTATACGAAAAATCACTATTTAATATCATTAAAATAAATTCTTATTATGTAAGAAGAAGAAAAAACTTTTTTCTGTTTAATTGATCTATATTTACCAATGAATGTAAACAAAGCGCATGAAGTGTTGCATAAACTCGTGATTCTTGAAAATCATCATCAAATACTGGTTGATCTTCATCAAAAATCAATGTTGAAGATACTGCTGATTCTCCACTTTTCGTTCTCATACGATTTAATTCAATTGCTATTTTATCTGGTATCTTTAATTGGTGTTCATTATAATTAATAGTTTCTTGTTGAAGTTTATCAGCAACCATAAATGCATTTGTATATGTATCATTTAATGATGGTAAAATTGACTCATGTCGTTTTCTTGTTTGTTCATTTATATTTAATGATGTTTCATTAATTACTAATGGAGATTTTCTTGAAATATTTTTTTGTTCAGTTAACGATGATTCTGGATTTGTATGATTTAAATGAAGATTTCGTAATGTGTCATATACACTTTGTAGAAAATCATTTTTTTTCTGTTCGACAATTTCATCGCCTATATTATGATCATGATGATAACCACGAAATAAAAATAAACCTAATAAACCAATACAAAATCCAGCTATACCTAAATAAATCATAGCAGATGGATCTTCTATATGATTTGGATTGATTAATTTATTAATTGCATCAACAATAATTGAAAATGATAAAGATAATAAAAGAACTTCTTGTAAAAGACCAGCAAGTAATTCTAAACGAGCCCAACTATAATAAAAAAATGAAAATTTTCTTTTAGAAAAAAATTTTCAATTCAAAATTTTACCCAAAAGTATTTTTAGAATCTAAACGTTCAATTTTTGCATAACGTAATGCAAGTAATGAACCAACTAATGCAACACCTTCAGCAAATGAAAAAAGTCCATCAGCAATAAGTAATTGTGATCGAGAACGAATTCCATATCCAATTTCAGCTATTGCTATACCAACTGTTAATATAAGCATAATAATCATTCGACCCGTTTTCGATTGTACCATTCGAATACATCGACGTAGGCGATGCCATGCCATCATCCACTTATTTTTGACCTTATCAATATGGTTTGTTGCTGTTGTTATTTTCGTCCTTAGTAGCAGTTGTTGTCAAAACAATAATGAATAATAATCATCTTGACAGAGGGTATGGAACCATATAATAGGACTGTAGACAAATGAATTGATGACATCACTCTAGAATTTATAAGCAATATATACTGCTTATAAATCAATTAGAAACAACATTTTCATATATGATAACGGATCAATGGTATCAGGTGGTATACACAGCTGTTGCCTGATTCTGGGATGAGAGACGAATGAAATAATAAAGAGCAACTAGTAATCTAAATAGATGGACAGACGACGGAAAAAAATAAGAAAGTTCTTAATTAAGAGACGAGCTTATCAAGAAGAAAGATTATTATCGTTGAAAAAAAATCGAATGGAGTTTATGTTTATAAATCTTTCTCATTTTCAATTTCGGTATATTCTGATTTCTTTTCTTTATTACTATCTCAATAATCATATTTCTGAGAAAAATAATCTTTCGAAAATCTAGCTTCAGATAAAAAGAAAAACAACTAAGATTCTCTTATAATCCAAGCGAAATTTTAATCATAATTTTTTTGTATAATTTCTAGTCGGATTATTTCCTTTCACGTTGTATGTGACACATTTTGAATGTTTGAAGCATAAGTATTCATCTAAAAGCTTTGTGGGATTTTCTTCTACTTTATTATCTAGAGAAAAAAAAATAGATAATAAGGAACATTTCCTTAAGATGACTTATCAAAAAAAACAACTTAAATATGTCTTTGTCAGTATGTCTGTAATATTATCTAAGTATATCCTTGCTACATCTTTCATAGTTGAGTAAAGAAATACCTACTAATATTAAAATAAAATATCTTATGAATAAATTTATTTCTATTGGTAAGATCTAACGAAATTATTCGTTTGCGTTTTATTTCTATTTATAATTAATATTTATTTTTTAAGCGTAATTTCTTGACTATAATATTTTTTCTTTATTTATATAAATAACGAAGATTATTTAATATCCTTAACGATTGATGTGATATAGTAATGACAGAATGAAAGAAATACTTTTTACCATATAGCGTTTGCCTGTTTGTCATATCGTGTTTACACTTTAGAATGTTTCCTTTCCCTTGTCGACAGTTTTTTCTTACTACTACTATTGTCATACCATTCACACTGCTCTTCTTTCTGTTGTTACGCCCTCACAACCATACTATCTGTGCGTGTATTATTAGTCATTTTTAGTTTGTTTGATCTTATCAATTCTCTATAGTTTTCTTTCCTAAGAATATACATTTACTTGCATACAGACAAATGCAAACAAAATGATCTCTATGTGTTCTTTTCTAAATGATGAATGCGAAAATAAAATGATTTATTCATCCAAGCACCTATTCAGAAAAATAATTAAACTGTATCAAAACAATTCGATCGTTTCTCTCGTGTGTGTTCTTTTTATTACTCTTCATTTTTCTAAAATCTGTATATAATACTTGACTGTTCTAACATAGTTCATATAACGTAAAAAGAACTATGAATTTTGCCTGAAGATCCAGAGAATATGCATGCAATAAGTCGTTGAATATTTCTTATTCGTGAATATTATAAACAACATTTCTGTCTTCCTTTTATCTTAGTGTACGTGTCTTCAAAACGCACGGCAAGTGCTATTTTTTTTTTCATCCGTCAAAAAATACAAAAGAAAGAAAGGGAAAGAAACAAGAATGGTCTCTCCGAGTAGACGAAAAAAATAACAAGAAGAACTCAAAAAAGTATCAAGTTTATAGTCGACTAAATGAAGAAAAGCAACTGAACCTTATCACTGCAATATTTTGAAAGAAAAACAGACAAATCTTAGATTGTCCTCAAACGTATAAACAATGATAAATTATCATAGATGTAGGTAAAAAGGAAACTCATGAATCTGAAGTACAATAATGCAAAGTTTCAAGTTTTGATTTTCTTTTCATTTTCACCATTCATTATGACAATGTTAGATAATTACATGTGTCTTTAGAGAAAAAAAAAGAAGAAAAGAAAGTACTTATAACCATGTTAAATTTGCAAATTAGTTTTCTTTTTTTTACGAGCTTCCTTTTTCTTTATACGTAACATTAATATACTTGTTATTGAGACTTAACAAAGGAAACATATTCAAAAAATAAAATCTGCGACAATATCTCGTCACTTTTTGAACTAAACAAAATTAATCATTTATGAGATAAGTTTTGATTGAGTTTGGATTACTATCATAAAAAAAATAATTCTTGTTTTTGGCAATCTCTCAAGCAATCTAATTCAAAATTGTTCGTATTATTTTCTATTTTGACTATAGCATCAAAGAATAGTAGTGTGAAGTTATTGTTACTTTAAAAATAACTCTGGCTAGCATTTTATGACTGGTGAATGTAATGAAATATATTATATACCAACAGAAAGAGAGCAAAATTCTCAGCAGTAGGAGACAGTTAAATATGAACTATATAGAGTTTGTAAGAAATGCCAGATAGAGTTATTTTGAAAATAAAAATAACTTCTCACCCCTATCAAAGAATTTCAATAGAGAGCAAATTACCATTGAAAAGGTTTTCAAGCATTAAGCGAAGCCCTTAAAAATCTAGCAGCAAGAACTTATATTTGGAGATTGACATCGTCAGTAGATAGAATTTTGTCATAAAATTACACGATTCATATCCAAGTAGAAACAAAAGAATGAAAATGTGTCTTATTTTGTCATTTTTGAATACAATCGATTCGTCGAAATCAAGATACATTAACTAATAACAGTTGATACTAATATCATAAATGTTGGAAAATCGTTATGAATTCTATAGGTAATAATTATTTAGAGATCTTTTTGCATTATAAAAGATTAAATAATTGATATTGATGATAGAATATGACATGCATGCAATAGGCGGAAAAGATTTTATTTATTATTTTTTCTGAACTATAATATCATGCAAATGTCAATATCTATTGATAGTTTGGCTTTGCAAATTTCAATGAAATTAGAAATAATTTTGTGAAACACATTCTAAAAGAAATGTTGAAGTAAAAAAGTAAAAATTCAGTTCTCATCCCCATCTCCTCACACACATGATACACATTGTTAATAATGATTCATTAGAGACACAACAGTCATCTTATGAATGACATATCACAGACGTGACAGGCATTCTTCGCAACATCTTTTCTTCATCATCGATTATTGTAGATTCCATAGCAACACTCTCCCTCTCCCTATATCACAGACCACGATGGACGTTGTTGATATTTAATCTGCGATCGTATATCAATAACTTCCCGTTATAATATATGAACTGGTTTCTTATTAAATTATTGTAGGAGTAAGTAAAAGGATGTTGAAGAAATGTATCCTAAAATAGATAGAAGAAAATAATCTTCTTGTAATCGGCAACAACAATCAGATCGTGTTTCACATTTTAATCTCGCAGATATTGTACTATTTTAAGATAGAATCTAAAACAGCGTAGAATGGTAGATTTTATTGATGGAATGAATCACCATTTAAAAAATATGTACACTATCGATGTTCTATAAGCGTTGAAATTATCGTCAAACAAAACTCATGCATAATACTTTTGGTGGATTTAGATATGCATATAAACCTAATATTCTTTCAAGTCATGATCATTTCAAATGTAAAGATGACTGTGAAATTCTAAATCTTAAGCATGAAAACTTGCCATTTTTCACACTAATCGACAACAAGTAAACTAATCTCATAATCTGCTCGAATAAAAACATGAGTGTTGAAAATAATTTTTGGCACGTACAGCTTTATTTGCATACATAATTTCTTTGACTTCTGTCATCTAGCAAGTCATTTGAGTATTGTAGCTTTATGAACAATATTCATATTCGATTAGTAGAAGTTCGAGTATAAGTTAAAAGTATAGACTTTATTAATTATATAAGCAGAACATACAAAATGAATGTAAGAAATCGAGGTTTATACTGTTGAATAAATATTTAAATAAAAAGACGACCCTATATATGCGCTAAAAATTGCAAAAGAAAAACAAGAAAGAAGAATTATGACAAAATAACAACGAGATGTAAGCTGAATATTAATATATCCAGCAATGAAAACATGTAAATCTACTTGATAATACTGTTCAAATAAGAATACAAATATAATAAAATTTTTTATGTATCACACATTGCGTCGCACGGAAGAAAAAGAAATAGAGTTTTTGCTAGTTTGAATTATACATATTGATAAAATCAAAATTGTTTGTTTGAAATATTAACAGTGTTCAGAAAAATAATTTTCATCTTGACTCATCGTTCGTTGATATGTAGATCTGGAAGGTAATTTTTCATCCTGATCATTATTCTCTGTTTTTTCATCAGGTATTGCTGTAAATTCAGTTTGATCTTTTGCTTGATTTGGTGATGATAAATCAAATGAAGATTGTTTTTCGATTGATTTTTTTCTTGTTATATCAGGTACAATAATAACATCATCGGAAGATAAAACAGGCTTTTGTATAGTAGATAATTTTCTTTGTTCGCTATGACGTTGTGGTAATGTTATGTGTGTTTCATTCTGATCAACATCGTCATTATATTCAACATCTTCAGCAATTGATTGTTGGGGTCGAAACGTTTCACTAGTAAGACCGCCATATGATTGATAAAATGGATTATTTAAATCCATTCGACGAGATGAATGTCGAATAGGTAATGAATGTACCGTATCATATTGTCCAAAATCTTGTAATTCAAAAATACTATGTAATGTTGATTGATAATCATATGGACGTGGTGAACGAACACCAGATGCGACTGAAGCTGTATCATTAAAATGATTTGTTGTTTCTGCACGTTTTTCTTCTGATCGAACATTGCTTTTAGCAAGTTTCGAACGATGACGACGAAACGTTTTACTTATTGATGTTGGAATAGTTTCTATTTGTAACAATGTTCTTGGTAATGGTATGTTTTTTGTTTCAGGTAATAACAGTGCCATTGAACCGAGAACTAATGAAAGAACTCCATAAATAAGACGAGGCATCCAATCATTTAATTCACCCTTAAAGTTAAATTTTTAATAGACGAAAACGTTTCACATATATGAAGAGAGAATCGAGAACTAATGAAATCGGTTCCCTAGCGAAATATGATTTCTGTCATGTCAAACTCTTGCTTCAAGTGTTTCAAAACGATCTCTGGTAGAATTAGACCTATAACACTTGTTCGTACTGTGTCCTAGTCGTTTGAAAGAGTCAATGGCTTTCGTACTTGCACTATATCTAGCTGTTGAAGATGATTAGCTGTTTTTAACCAACAATCCGAAGATTGATCAGAATAGTATTTATAGGGTTAGACTACTTTCGAGACATGATTTCTTTTTATCTGATATTTAGTAGATTTCGATTAGAAGGATATGATATTCTGAATTAGTGTCCAAAACTGAATGGTCTTACGCATATCTAAAAACTTTTTGTATCCATTTTTTTCGTCGAAAAAAATTATGCATGGCCCTCCTTTGAGTTGGATCAAAAAATGAATTTCATGAAAAGTCTGTTTTTATTGTGTATTCATCTACCATTCGGAGTTCTACTATCGTGTTAGAACCTTAGAGTTTATCTCCACTGTCAAAATAATTTTTCGATGGAACTAACTTTTTGACCCAACCCTGAAGGAATCAGGAGTGAGTTGTTCGACAAAAACAAAAGACTACGGTATTTTTTGAAACACAAGTAAGTCTACTCAATCTTGAATGTTGATTCAGAATGTCATATTAATTTTTTATCCAAATCGTATTTTTCTAATCAAAACCTACTAAATATCAGACAAAAAAACAATCATGAAATCATATATCAAGAATAGTCTCCTTGAAATTGCTTTGTGTGACTGGTGTTTTCTTCTCGACATTTTTATATCATCTTGAAGCGCCTGAAAAATTCTGATTATCATCAATAGTTCGGTTCAATATACATATGACAGCATCAACTTTGGACACTTTATGTGATAGATCGAAATAGAAGAAATCAAATTTCGCTGGCGGGTCATTTTCAACAGTTAAAGATTCTCCCTCTCATTTCTTACCACATCGGGAGAAGCAAGTGCAACACCAATTAATCGAAATGTATAACAAATACCAAGTGCTGTACATCTTCAAACGAAATAAAAGTATTATAAATATATTTTACTTTATATTTACCTTAAACCCGTTGGAAATATTTCACATGTATAAATAATTAACACAAGAAATGCAGCACGAGTTGCAAATTTACCCATAAAATAAACAGCCAGCATTGCCGAACGTGTTTGTTCATTATCTAAATAATAATTTTAAGAAAAATCAATGAGAAGAAAAAAAGAACAATCTATTACCTAATTTCCCAGCAACTGAACCAAGTAGACAAACTTCTGCAATAAGAAAAAAGCCAAATGTTGGCCATCGGCGGCCCCATCTAAATAATAAAAAATGATTTAATTTATAAAAAAAAAAGAAACATCATATCGATATATTACAAATAAACCAAAGGAAATGCTATTATGAACGAGATAATTTGTATAAGATGTGAATAAAAATGATTGAAAAAAAAATTATCTGTTAAATGTTGAGTTAAATGTGGAGCCTCAAGACTGTATTCTGTTAAAGAACTAACAAACCTTAAAGAAATAAAAAATCATAAAAATTAATTAAGAAAATTTTTTTTTTCAAATACAAACCAAAGGCCACACATAATAAGTAAATAACAAGTTACTATAGGTGAACAAAAAAAATCTGTTGGATAAAATGTTGATATTGTTGGATAATAATGATGACCAGTTATAACTTTTAATACACGTTGTGATAGAGTAGTTTTTTTACCTGTTGTTGCTTGTAAATCTACCATATCAAAATCGGGATATTTTTCACCCAATGCTTTAATATCCTCTAAATGAAATTTTTTTTTCGTTCCAAAAATGAGCATTTTGTCTGATTAATAAATAAACAAACCTAATCGAAGTAATGGTTGAAAATCACATTGAACACCTTTTGAACGTTTACCATGAAGAAAGTCACGTGTTTCAAGAAATATATTTTCAAAAACTACACCATTGAATGCAGATATTTTTTTTAAAGATAATATAGCTGCCACATAATCTTTTTGAGATGTATACCAAAACATTGATTCTTCCATAAACCTAAATTTGCAGTTTTTTTTCTTTTTTTGTTTAACCCTTTCGCGCCGGGTGTCCCATATATGGGACGCTGACATTTTTCCTTAGATACAGATATCAAATGGTACTCGAAGTGATATTTGGTACTTGTGTCTAAAGAACTCTTTCTATTATAGCGAGAGAGAGACTATTGGCATCGAAAGTTTTATAGGAAAGTCGCACTTTAAGTGTAAAACTTCAAGAGTCTTTAATAAAGAAAGTCTATCGATACATCGAAACGCTTCTAATAGAAACTATATTACAAACGGTGGAGCTCAGAATCCTTATGCAACATCCTCCTTTGGAGAAGAAAACGTCTGGAGGAAGACACATGACTAAAATACTATTTGCAGAG